TTTTGGTGATTTTGTAAACGGTATCGGAACGTATTTTGTTGGTACACCGATTTCAGGTTGATACAGTTTTAAGACTTTATTAATAAATATGGGGTTAAGAGAGAAAGAAAGAGAGAAAATATGTAAAGTTTGTAAAGGTAAGTGATGTGAGGGGATAAGAAAGTATATGTAATTCTTGTGGAATGTGGATGTAGCTTGTTGGGAGTATATTCTCTTCCTTAATACATAATAGTGAAAATCTCTATTTCTATGGACATAACCCTAGAATTAGGTGAGCCATACAAAATATTGCGTTATTCGTGAATGTATATAATTATTATCTCCATATATATTTGTGTTAATAATATGATAATGATACTTATGTTATGTATGTCATAAATGAATGATTTAATTAATTCTCAACGGCAACTACTAGCATGATTGGAGGGACAATAACTATCTTAAAATTCCTAACAAAAAAATACAAAATTACATATGATGTTTATATTTGTCGGGTGCATTATATGCTAAATAGTAATTTAATCCAATTTAATGATTCTTTTAGCAAATTTTGCTCATCCAAACTGAAATATTGGAGATCTTTCACTCTATCTTTCATGCTCTTTGGTTATTCCCCTCACATCAATGGATTAATAAACCTGAAGAACAAAATAGAAGAATCAAATTTAAAACCTACAATCATACAAGCTTAGTTATATTATATGAAAATAATAATATAATAATGACCACGGAGGAGTAATTATACCACTACCAATTATAGCTTAAACTCTCAACTTTCTCTCCTTATCCCATTTTTATCAAAGGAAAAAATTTATTCATTTCTTACTTCCCATCTTCATTCCCGTCAAACAAAACATTAATCATTAAAATAAAATGAAAGAACAAAACCATTCAAGATTCTAACCTGTATTATAGAATTATTAAATATGTAGAACACAATATGTTGAGGAACATTAATGAAGATGGAAGCAAGGAACATTAATGAAAACTTGAGGCATTTTCAACATTCTAAAGCACGTGACAGAAGAAAAACTAGAAAAAATCGACAAATGAGCAAAAACTGAAGTATAGAAAACGTTTTTTTTTCTTTTTTTTTCTTTTTGGGGTTGACTTTTTATCATAAAATAAGGCTGGAAAACCCTATGAGAAGTTATCTAAGAAAACAAAAAGGAAATATGGAAAAACAAATGTGAATACGTGAAAATGGAGATAAGGAGCTAGACTTGTGAATCGTGTTGGTTGACTGCAAATGTACACATGTCTTAATGGATGGTGGATTATTATCCTCCACCGGTCCATATTAGATAATGGGATCACGAGACGAATTTTCCACCTTTCCCTTCAACAATAAAAGAGATGGTGATATATGTGTGTATAATATGTATATTTGGCATACCTAATCCTAGTGAATTTTATTTAGGAAAAATAAATAAATTCTAGTGAATTTTTGAATTATATGTAATTTCTTACTTCTCATATATATTAATCAATTGCTAAGAAATTCTTTAAAAAATTGTCCCAAAGAAAATTCAAACTACAACCTACATGGTAGTGAGTACTAAGTAGCTGATCATCTTATTAATAAAAGGCAGAAGGGTGGATGCTAAAATCTGTCAGGTTATTTAATAAGTTGTGTTAAACGGAGTAGTTTTTTTTTATAGTAAAAAAAAAAATTTTAAATTTTTTTAGTTGCTTGCTTTTTGCTTGTGCATGTGTATGATGGAAGATCTTCTAAGGGCAGAAATACTCTTCAAAATGAGAAATTTTAAACAGTACCCCCATTGGAAAAATACTAATTTTTGATGGTTTGGTAAATCTCTTTATTCATGTTGAAAGTTTTTTTTTTTTTTTTGAAAAGTTATTCATTTTGAAAGTTGCTAATATAAAATATTAAAGGTTTGATGTCATGAATGTTATAAATGGAGCCAAATTAAATTATTAATGACAAAAAAAAAAAAAAGGAGAGAGAGAGAGAGAGTTAAATTCACAATCTCATCAGCTTGAATGCTAGAAGGCCTAATTGTTGGGATTCAAACACCATTACGCCCAATTGTTAGCATTTACCTTTAGCCTTGAACAGGCCCAAAACTAGTGCTAAAGTCTTCTATTTACAAGTGCGCCCATTAAACACGTTATCCATGACGGGCTCAAACCCTCCCCTCATTTTAAAGGATAAAAAGAACTATACCATTGAACTAATAGCCCATATACCCATCTTACAAATGACTGAAAATACTAAAACAAGAATTAATAAATCAAACTTTTTTATTTGTCTGAAGTGGCCCAAGCATTTTTCAAACTCAAATTACTCAATAGACTTGAACAAGGCATAAAGTAATTTCACCAATTGGACTAACTACAAGGCCTATAATAAATTATGTAATACCCTACAGGCCCAACAAGTGTACTTCAGCATATAAAACTTTGTTACTTAAAAGAGTTAAAGAGTTTGGAGGAGAAGATTGTAAATTGTGGAATTACAGTAAAGATTGTATCACAATCATTTCGTATAAAAATTTCAGTTTCCTATTAAATATTAATTAATGTCTTGAAATCTAGTATTAATGGGGCACTAAAGTTTTCCCACCACAAAGCCATTATAACTTAGTCCACCGATGATTATATTGAGCGATATTTCTAGTGATTCAACATCATTTCATGGCAAATAGTTCCTTAGGAAATAGTTCTAACACTGCAGAACATATATAATAGCAATTAAATATGTAACATAATATCTTTAATTCTAACCACTTTTATATTATTTTTTTTCTCATCAATTAGTGCACAAGTGGTCTCGTTTCTTATTCAAATTATTAATGACAATGATTAGACCAACACTCTCAAACTTCAAAGATAACAAATCTAACAAACTTAGTTCTTTTTTTTTTTTAGGGATAATTCCTAAAAATATGGAATTTTAGAGTTTTTATGTCAAAATGATTAAGTCAACATCACATCTTTTCAAAATAATGAAATTTTTATACAAATTTGACTAAAACATGAAAATTTACTGTACGTTATTCTTTTATTCTCATGCTGCCCCATGATTTTTTCTAGGTATATGTAAAAAATTATATTCTCCAAAAGCACCACCGCCTTTGCTAACAACGCCGTCGTCACTCCACTGCCACAATCGCCGCCACATACTTGTATATATTTTGTATAAGTAATAAAATTTGATTAATGTTACCTTCCTCGTAGACCCAACTGTATCGATATATTTATAATATATGCAAACATTCAATTAGTTGCATCATGTATCCAATATATTATTTCAATAACTTATACATATATATATATCCTTTGTAGAAGTAATTGAATCAATCCTTCTTACAATATAATTACACCTTCTGATTTATAGAGACACACACCCATAACCACCGGAGCGGCAATCGTCGGCGCACTTGCAGACTTACTCCACCCATTGGGATCTATCAAGGAGGAGGTGAAGTAGTGGCAACCAGAATTGACAAAGCTCTGAATCGACAGGACAATCTGCCAGAGATAAGATGAATTTTGAGGAACTTTACTTACCTTCATCTTTGTTAATAAATTGTTTTTCCAAAAGAGAGATGAAGAGAGAGAAAGGTAGGTGGACGAAGAAGAAGAAGAAGAAGGAAAATTTGATAATCAAGACATTACCTTTATAAAATTTAATAATATTAAAAAAAATTGATTTTGACTCGATCGTTTTGACATAAGCATTAATAATTCTATTTTTTTAATTGACTGTGATTAGTTTAAAAACTTGAGTTGGTCCAGCCTCGAATTGGTTTTAATAGAACCTTGGTAACTTATGAATTACATTAATGTTTTATTATGTTTTCTTAACTTTTATTAATAAGTAAAAGAAACACCTCAAAAATTATATATAAATATTGTTGATGAGTTAAGCATATATGAATAACATGTTTACAAGTTTAAACGAGTGAAAGATTATACCCATATTGTTAGTAAATTAAACAGTCTCAAAAATGAATTAACTTTATGTTCCGTTTGTTTAGATAAAATATATTCTTTTTGAAAATAATTTATTCATAATTTTTCGACAAATTATTTTACATGCCTCGTTCGATGGATTCGACCTTAACTTCAACGTACATCTTTGTCAAACACTGATAAAGTAAAAATAAAAAATTATTTTACCTGAAAAAAAAAAAAAAATTAAAAAGAATATTTTACGTTAAAACAAACAGAACCTAATTTTTTTTTTTTTCTTCGTAAATATTTTACAGTAACCAAATACCAGAAAATTAAAATAAATATATATTTTACATCTACATTTGTTTTGCTTTATTGTTGTTGGTCAGTGAAAAATTTGCATGGACTCCATGAGAACGACAGTACTCCCTGCAGGCAGGGCGGAGATAGAGTATGTGATCAAGAAGCTCTTATTTATTATTTGTGTCCTTATATAATTTGTCATGGTTATATATTAACAGTTATTTATGATAAGTTTTCAAATAGAAATCACAGCAGCCCCTTCAAAGTCCTTTGAATATTTTTAATCTCACTTTTGAAAATTCAAATTTAGGGGGGAAAAAAAAAAAAGGTCTCCATTGCTCATATCAATACTCCATCTATAATTTATAAATATATATATGTGTATATATATATATATATATACTATTTATTATCTATATTATATCAAGAGAGAAAAATGGAATGCTTGACTTTTTTTTTTTTCTTTTTCTTCTTATATTAGTTTCCAATATGTACTATTTAGGGGTGGAAGAGGGATTTTCAAAAGGACCAATGTGATGGACAATTTTTTGGAAACACCTAGACCCCACTCGTGTTGTGCTTTATTGGTGGAGCCTACAATCGGAGCGCAACTTCCCTTAAGACCCCACACACTATAAAATACGACCTCATTGACGTTGACCGAAGTAACCATCAATACGACACCGTCCCACCAGTGGACTCACCGTGTCCCCCGCCAATCAATTACAAAGACCATGCGCGGACCTGAACTCCACCAATCAATAAATTTTAATTTTGCTTTTCAGTTCCGAGCCTCTCTCTTTCTCTCTCATCTTCAAGAGCACAAAGTCGTAAGTCGCCATTTTTCTATGCTCGAACTCGCAGTGAAATTTGAAAAAGAAAAACTGTGTTAAAAGCAGTACGACCGAGAAAGTTCTATGCGACGAATTACAAACCGCCGGTGATAGCTAACTGTTTTTTCCGATGGTCTGAAAATCACTGACGACACGTGTGTCAGTTCCCGGCGACTTATTGATGGCTCTTACTGACCAAAAATCGCCGTCGGACGGCAAGGTGTGGGGTTTGTTTAAGCTACCGTTTCGGAATTCGGGAAATACGCATTCTACGTCGTCGTCGTCGCACAACACGCAGAGCAATCAACAGCAACAAAGTCAAGGTAACAACAATGCACAGGTCGATGGATCGAATCCTCCCAACACTTCCAGCTCTGTCTCTTCCGTCGCCAGATCTTTTCTCCCTACACGGCGTCGTCTTCGCCTTGATCCGTCGAATAAGCTCTACTTTCCCTGTATTCTCGCCTCTCTTTGATCGTTTACTTTTATCTTTGTTGACTTGTGGAATTTTTTCTGGTTCTTACCATAGTTTTGCGATCTAACTAATCTGATCTTGATCTTTCTTTGATTTTGCTGGAATATACTTGAATTTTGCTTTTGCCTTTCTCGGTATTACTGTAATTGACTAGTAAATTAAGTGATATTATTAATCTTGCAATTGAACTAGTTATAGTGGATTTGATTTTGCATAATTTAAAAATTAAAGGAGATTGCATTAATGTGTTCTAATAAAGGAAAGAAACGGCCATTAATGGACATATTGATGTGATCAAGCCTTAATAACTATCCTGAAAACAAATGGAGAAGACAGAAGTGAATTTTAAATTACAAGCTTAATTAAGGTCAACATTTCATGTTTCTTATTTTCCTTGCTCATGGATGAACTCAACTCACAAAGCATGTCCAAGAAAGGTCCCATGGGAGTCAGTTTTTCGCTGATTGTGGTCAGCTGAAATGTATGAAACTGATTTTGGTGTTTTCAGGGGATGGTGACAATATATTTGTACTTAAAAGTGACTATTCTTTTTATCTTCAGTGAATTCTTTCATAAGGATGATAGGATTGAAAGAGGAACATTACCAAAGATGTAAATAAGTAGTAGTGAAACAAGGACTGCAACTTCCCTGTTATACAAATATAGAAAACCTAGATTTCTTTTATTCGAAAACAAATGTCGGGCCAGCTATATTTTGTCATATAGAACAATAGGCGTTAGCTAAAATGCAATAATAAGTCAGAGCAGCCTAATCGGAAAATTTGTTATGGATTATAAGTTCTATCTTGGCGGTTGGCACATTACTGAGTGCATGACAATGTAAAGTTGTGTAGGATGGTTTGGTCATGTAAAATGAAGACTGTGGATGCACTAGTAAAAGAGTAAATTGGTTAAATTAGAAGAAGGTGTTAGAAAGGGTAACATTTCCAGGTTATCTCCATCTGTTGATTCTTTTTATTGAGTTGCATTACTGTTATGTTTGCTATATTTTGCAGTCTTGGCGAAGTTTCTTCTTCTTTATGCAAGTTGCATTTATTTGGTCTAGGGTTGATATTCCCTTTTTGGTGCATTTTAATTTATATATATGAATATTCAATCATTCTATCCATTGCCAGTTTATAAAGTTTATCAGTTTGAGCATTTTGTTCTGTTTGATATTTTTGTCAACATTAAGAATTAAGTTCACTTTTCACTTGTTTGTCCCATAATTGCTTAATTGAGACGTTGTTGATGTGATTCCTCATAGTCATTTTTCCAGTTAACATTTAATGGTAAATGTATGCATGCTAGAATAATGCTGAAATTCATTCATTTTTTTATTATTTATTTTTTTTTATTTTTATTTTTTCTGAAATGCTTATATAATAAAATATATCGAGCGACCTTTTGCTTGCTGGAACTATTTATTCTTGCCTAACTATAAGTTTTATATTTTCTCAAGATGAACCTGGTAAGCAAGTGAGGAGCGCTATTAGAATTAAAAACTCAAGCAAGTCCCATGTAGCTTTCAAGGTATGCCAAATAGTTTTCAAATTTTTCTTTATTCATGATCTGTTGTTTCTATTTCAATGCTGGGAAGTATTGATGACAGAAATATGAGGTTGATTACGGATGTTCTTTGTATACTTGTTTTAATGTTTAGGCTATCTAAATATCATTTTGTATCATGTTAAATATTTATGTTTATATCTTTTACCTGATTCTTGAATTCTTTTAATTTAGTTTCAAACAACCGCACCAAAAAGCTGTTTCATGCGCCCTCCAGGGGCTATTCTTGCTCCTGGCGAGAGTCTCATAGCAACTGGTAATTACTCATGCATACTCTTTCGCACATCTTTCATTTATTGGATGAGTGGTGTCTGGCACATTATGTTAATACAAACACATGCACACACACATGTATATGTATGTGTACTCATATGTATAATATATTCACTGCCGTCCTTGGCTTCAAACCTGACTTCTACAAGTTCCTTTTCCTGGTTTTAAATAAATCTGCTAGTGTTCAAGTTTGTGGAGCATCCAGAGAACAATGAAAAACCAGTGGATCAGAAGCGCAAGGTGAAGTTTAAAATCATGAGCCTAAAGGTGAAAGGAATGATGGACTATGTGCCTGAGCTGGTGCGTTGTGATCTGTTTTCACAGATGCTTCTTGTTATTATCTTATAGTGTAACCACATTTTGATAACATATTTTTAAATTTATGACCTTGATGCTATATTGTTAGTTGTCACCTTTTACATATTGGATTCAAAATTTACGTTAAAGTTTTTCATTTAGTGATCAGATTCTAATTGGGTCATTTATTCAAATTATTGCTCATAATTTGTTTTTTTACCAGATTTACAGGGCACCTTTAGATATAGTGAACCTTAATTAAGCAATCAATGTGAAATCCTACAAGATAGTACAGTCAGCCTGCTGTCATCAACAGAAAAGTTACTATTGCATATGTGGAGTGATTTTACCTTTCACTTGATCAAATTCGTCCCGTTGCTTTATGTCTCCACTTTTTAAAATCAAACTAGCACAGAATTTGTACTTGATAGTTAGAAATTTCGAGTTGGCAGCTGGCTTATTGTAGAAACTGCCAAGTTTCTGATTGCAGGAAACTAAGCATGATTAAAACTGAAGGCATGAATTTTAGCTCCTGCACTTCCCCCAACTATCCTGACCCCCCGCCTTCCTCATCTTTATTTTTTAACTTCATGAAATCCTCTTCATACTGAATAAAAAATTTCCACTTCCTCTTTCATACAGTTTGATGAGCAGAAGGAACAAGTTGCAGTAGAGCAGATATTGCGGGTTGTATTTTTAGATGCGGAGCATCCTACCCCAGTAAGTACATATTGGCATGGAATTTTTTTAGTGGGCATAAAGAGTATGTTTTCAGAAAATTAATTTGATCCAATGAGAATTTCAATATATCAAATTAGTCCTTATTTTCCAAAAGTAAATTCAACTTGGTTCAATAGCTTTGCAATGACTGTATCAAGATTCATGTACATAATTTTTTATTCTCTGCAACCTCCAACATATAGCCTTTGCATGTGATATTGTTGGAAATTTTCTTCCCCATGTCAGCACTTAAATAGGGTACTAGGAGTCTAGGACCTACCACCTAATCGATCTTCATAACATTTCAACGATATCAAAATCCAACTTTATTCGATGCATTTATTCACTACATTCAAAGTGCTTGGTAAATTGGAACAAATTTTTTACACTTTAACTAAATCAAATGGTGAGGCAATTCTTGTCTCCACACCAATATGACATATGCTACTGTAAGAACTTGAACGATACCAAGAAGCTCAATGTTAAAGTATTATTTGATATTGGCATATGATTAGATATACTGTCACTTGATATCTGAGAGGAAGTTGTTACTGGCTGGCTTCAAGGATCCATATGAAATTATTCTCATTAATATAGATAGAAGTCTCATGAAATTTTGAGGATATCTTTCCTTTTCTGAAGAATGAATGTATACCTAGCTGATTCATGAAATTTTGCTTCTTTACTCTTTTAAGGCTCTGGAAAAATTGAAACGCCAGTTAGCTGAGGCTGAAGCTGCCGTTGAGGCACGCAAGAAACCCGCAGACGATACAGGTCCAAAGATTGTTGGTGAAGGACTAGTCATAGATGAATGGGTGAGTTGTGCTTTAAACTTACAACTTTTCTCCTTCTAGTAAGATGATCACTTTTCAATTTTTCTTTTTTAAATAATTCTACTGCGTTCTGCTTTTCTAGAAAGAGCGAAGAGAAAGATACCTTGCTCGACAACAAGTTGAAGGGGTGGACTCGGTGTAAACTGGAAGTCTATATTCAACTGTTTTACTCTGAATGGAGATTTTATAATCAACTGTTAATGAATGTATCATTGCATATCCTTTTATCTTTTGGTTTAATATGAAGGTTGTTGTGTTCAAAGAGCTAAATGGGAGACCATTAACATCTATTCATGTGGAAACTGTGTGTTGAAGTATATAAGTGGAGGTTCTACATGCTTGGCTAGTCACTGTCAGGCTGCCCCCCCCCCCCCCCCCCCCCCTTTTCCAGAAAGTAATTTGGCTTTCTGTGAGATGCAAGGTGACAATTAATGATGAAATGGAAATTTTCATTTTGTCAGTGTGATATTCGTCATTTTTTTTTTCCCAGAAAATTAATATCCATCAAATGTTACATTGATCAAGAGTATGAAAATGTTACATTGGGCAAGGTGCTAATTAATGTGCAGTGTGTTGAGAAGCAAAAGTCCAAAATGGCCTGCTCCATGTGGGATTATGATAAAGGGACTGTTTGCTGTAGTTCTTATTATCTTTATAAACTGGAAACCCTTGAAGGTCAAAGGGTGTTCTTTGAAATTAGACTTGTATGTTTTTTTACTTAAAAATTTGTGAGTCAATGGATTATGTAGTTTTGTTTTCTGCATGGTTTAAAACTATACTGGTGGTTTTTTCAGCAGCATTGTGGCAAGTATAATTTTGTCTTCCTTAGAAAGTGATTTTCAGCTCAATGCCCTTGGGACGCTTTGCTCTTCTATAGGTGCCATGAAATCACTCTTCTCCATTTGCATTTCATCACTATTTTTCTAGGACAGGTTGCAACTTGAAATTCGGGTACATTTCATCAGTTTTTTTATTTTTCTTTGGGAAAGGTAGAAACTCAGGTTACTTTCAGCTCTTCTTTGTAGAGTGGGTGCAACTTAATTGAGGAGATTAAGAGATAATTGTTAAATGTTGTCTAATTAAACTGTGGTCATGTTCTGAAAATCAAGAAACAAATGTATTTGCTTAAAGAGGACAGAAATAGAACTGCGCCTCTTATATGGCCTTCCTTACAAAACTCACTAGATAAATCAACAAATCCGACCCTCCCTAGACCAACATTAATATCCACAGAATGAATGGGCGAAAACCGAAAACCATTGGCGATCTATGGGCTGGAGTTGGTGGTCCAGGCAACGACCTTGCATACACTACTACTACTGGCTGCAACATTATTGTATGCCTTGTTTTTCGGTAAGTTGCATTATTCTGTGCCTTGTGGTCCTTCTGGACCCCACGATTTTCGTCCTTCCATTTTGTTGCCTTAAACCTTTTTGTTTTGCATTGTGTAACGTTCGTCTAAGCCAGACAAAATTGCTGATCCTAATAACAAGACCTCTCCGGACAACCAGTAATCCAGACCATGCTATCATATGGCTAGCCAATAGTAAATTCAGAAACCATGGTTCTCTGGTGCCTTAGGTTTTGGAAAACTGTTGTCCTCAATTGCCAATTGATACACTGTTGTATTGCTCCCCTCCCTATATATATGTGTGTGTGTGTGTGTGTCCACTTCTCTTTCAGAACACATTTGAACAAGCAAGCCATTCATCCTGAGCCTGAAAATTCCTTGAAAAATCTTAAAGAAGTGAAGAGAGAGATGAGTTATCTAGGTAGAGTTTGCATGGCAGCGAGTGTTGCTATGGTGGAAGGCCACACTGACCAATGCTCCAAATGTAAGTTTGGCGTTCCACCTCTTCTTAGCCTTGGCAATAAAAGATCTTCTTCTCGCGGTGGGATGCTAGAATCGAATTCAGGACCTCCTGTTGGGAGGGGCGAGGGAGATGATAATCGAAAACAGGTGGACGAGTCTCTTCAGAAAGTCATGTTCTTGAATTGCTGGGCACAGAACTAGACGATATCAAGAAGCAAAGTAGCTGGGAGATTATAGACACAACTGGGTAGTGTTTGCTTGCCCAGAAAAGATATGGATGAAATGGAGAAGACCAAAAATTTAGCCATTCAATCACTTTGTATATATGTAAAATCTCAACTAATAAAATCAACTCTAAACTGTTGGTTTATCTCTGCTCTTCCTGTTTTCATTAACCCAAGCTGTGTTTTCAAGTCAATTGTGGTGTTGTTGCCAACTATGTTATCCAAGTGTTCAATATGTCTTCCACTCAAGTTCTACCCATCTTTTTTGCCATTAATCAGGTACTTGATATACAACAAGGCGGCGATGTCATAGCCATTTTGTTTTGTATGATTCATTGTACCAGTTCTGTCCCTATTGTCACAAGCTTGTTTTACACTGCAAAGGAAGGGGAGAAAATGACGTCATATATTACATATATAAAATATTGTAATACCCTATCTCTGAACGCTTTCCATATACTCTGTTTATTAAAGTACAAGAAAGACTAGTCGCACATAGAATTCAGATGAGAAGTGAAACGGGTATAAATGAGTTGAGTATTAGTAGTCAATTATAAAATACACTTGACCCTTAAATCATGCTTTTTTATAACACAGTAAAGGACCAACCTTTTTTTTACAATAAACCGTTACTTAGCTGGAAACGGTACATAACCATTGCATCACAAAGCGATGAATTTGTCTATTTTGGAACTATGGTGGTCACGCCCCTGCCTCATATCTTTAGTTAAACAAAGAAGGATCTTTAGCCGGCCTCTATCTGAATCTCACATAATTAACTATGCCTTGTGGTTTCTATGTTGCTCTCTTTCATCTCACTTTTACTATAAATAGGAGAGGTCTCTAGAGAAGCCATATCCCACAAAGAGAGAGAAGTTTATACCTTTGAGCAAGAAGAAGAACACAGATATATATATATATATACATCCAATGGCCAAGACATACAACAACAATACCACCATGATTCTAAACATGTTCCTGGTACTCTCTCTTCTTCTCATCATCACCATGGCCGAAAGTAGGTCATTCTTTGGTGGTAAGTCTTAATTTGATGATCACATGCCTAATAAACTTTGGTTGATTAAGAGTGTTTGAATTCCCCTATATACATCATCATCACGAGCCTAAATCCTCTGTTGTAGCATGTTGTGATGTTTTTCAACGCACTTGTATGTATCTATTTTCCACACATTTATTCTATATTTTAACACAACAGCATATTATAGCATCAGAGTGCTACAACAGAGGATCCAGACTCCATTATTGTTATGGTGCAAGACTCATGAGATTCTATATGGTTATATATATATATATATGTATACATATATATATGTTAGTTTGGTTGTGCATATATAAACATCATGGTATAGAGAGTAACATAACATGACAAATTGACATATTTTGTTTGTGAAATTGAAATGAGCAGCTGCGTTAGAGAAGGCGGAATCTTCCCCAACCTGTGATTCAGTGTTTGGTGTAAGAAGCGGAGACACTTGCTTCGACATTGCTCAGAACTTCAAATTGACCGCTCAATTCTTTGAATCCATCAACCCCAATCTCAACTGCACTGGTCTCTTTGTGGGCCAATGGATTTGTGTTGATGGGACAATCAATTAAGTTGAGGAACTCAAATTTCTATCATCTGGAAAACAATGCACCAACAATGCACCACATACAATTTTCATTCAATAACGACTGCTATTGGATTCATCTACCAATATCATTCTTCTTCTTGTTCTTGGCATTTGAATTCAATATGATAATTTCACCGTATTTCTCTGTCTCTCTGTGTACATGCGTGTGTGTGCTGCCTTAATTGAAATCTAAGCACATTGACTGAAATTCAAGAAGTATTATAATTGCAATTCAAGAACCTATATTCTTCTAGGATCAACCCAGATGCCAACATTTATGTCTTTTAAGATGAAGTTGAGTACTACACAATTGTGATCACAACCATATGAACTTGTCGAGTTAACTCGATCGATAGCATAGAAACTATAATGGCTTGTGATTGCTCAAAAAGAACAAGAATTCTTGGACTTGAGTTTAAATCATACTAACCAAAGGTACGTTGAAGCCTAATATTATCTCCATATACTGTTAAAATTAAATTCATTGCGACCATAACACTCAAATTTGAAAATATTATAATTTAAATTTTTTAATAAACATAAAATAAAATATCGTTATATTATTATCACTTTATGGACATGGATTACTAAATTATGTTTATTTATATTGGTATGTGTATTTACTAAAATCATTTTTACATTTCTATATGCATTTTTTGCAATTTATTATCAATTAGCATATAAATATACATTATGAAATTTGGTTCCTAATTGATTAAAGATTAAAGAACATAGTTTCTTTTAGATTAAATAATAATGTTATTGTTGCAAAGAATTTTATAACTATGGAAATAAAAAAAAATAAAAATCTATAGTGCAAAAAAAACTTTTAGTTTTAAGTATTACTTTTCACCTGTATTAATTTTTCATTTTCAATTAATATGATATGATTTTAGACGGAAAGTATTAACATTTATTAATTGAAAACTTTGAGAATCAAACACTCAAATCATTGTACTTTCAAAGCCACAAAAAATTAACTATCATGGTTGTTAATTAATCTGATGTTCTATATGTTTCAACTCTTATTTTAATGCAAACAAAAGGAAATCTAATCTTTTTATTGTTACCAAAGCCCTTAGTTACTAAAAGGTACGAAATTTAAAATTTGTTTCATTTACTCACTTTTCAAAACTAAACAATCTCACGCTAAGAATTTGATCTTGTGGTAATATTTTGTGTCGCACATTCCTTCTTCATGCAGCATATGCATTATAATTAATGATTAAAATTTAATTTTCAAAACTTTCTATCTAAATATATACATATTTTTAACTCTTCTACCAATTTCTCTAATCTACAGATTTTTACCAATTCTACAATGTTTTAGATTTCTCAAGTTTCCACCGCACTTTATACTTTCATATTATTTATATTTTTTTTATATTTTTGAAATGAATAGTTTTGGAAAAAAAGCATTATTGAAATGAAAATACATAAGACATAAGAGAAAAATAATAATATATGTGTGGTTGAATTTTTAAATAAACAAAAAAAATTATTCTATCAGAACGTAGCAATATTAGTATTTTTCTATTTTATGCCGAATGTTTTAACAAATGGATGAGTCCCTAGAACAAAATCACAAGTATAGGTTTATGTGTCAAGGCTATATGCTCTTAAGGTGGTATGCATTATTAGATAAATCAAATGTTGGCAAAAAAAATTATATGTTCAATCATTGTTCATTCATCATTCTAATTAGCTAATGAATGTATAATAATAATAATAATAATAATAGTATTATCTTCTTCTTTCTTTTCGCTCATATGGCAATGAGAGTTTGCGGGCGTGCCAGACTATGTTAATACTAAAAAAAAAATGATTTGAAAAAAAAAAATTGATTTGAGCACCAAACTATCTCTTTTGGTGTCTGACTTCAGACGATTGTACAAGAGAGAGAATAGGAAAAACTATCCGCTGGATTCAATATTTTAGTCCTCACTAGTGAGGATTTACAATATACTGACCACTGATGTGGAATAATAAATGAACACATCTTATTTTAATTATCAAATTATAGATGGTAATTAAATCACTATCTCTGATTTGGTAAATGAATATCTACCACTGTCTTTGATTTGGTAATTAAAGATAACATAGTATTGTCCTTCTTTTTATGCCTTAGATGCAACTTTTTATAATAGTGTTTAAAAGAAAAAGAAAAAAAATACAATACAAAGTAATTTAAATAAACTGACTGAATTGAAATGGACTTTAAAAAGAACCGGCTGAATTGAAATTGCGTGAAAAGTAATGAGTGTAATGAAATAGGCTGACCGAATTTAGATGACTGGAATCTAATCAAAGATCGTCATTGAATTCCATTGCATAAAACAATGATTGATATGTAAATAGCATATTTAGACATCGCAAGAAAATGATAAGTTGCTGAACTTAGATTCGTTGAATGAAATTTGTCATTTGGACAAAGGATGTCAAGATTTATAAGTTACGTGGAGTCATGTGATGAATTTGTGATTCACGTTTTGTGGGTGGTGCTGGACTGTTTGAATATGAATTTGTGATTTCAAGATTGATAGGTTACGTGGAGTCATTTGATGAATTTGTGATTCACGTTTTGTGGGTGGTGCTGGACTGTTTGAATATGATTACAACTCTTCTATTTAGAGAAGTTCTTCTAATTGTGTTGTCTATTTACTTACAAAAATTTCTCCTTCCTTGATTTCCTCTCATTTCTAATTCAAATAAAGTCAAATTTGAAGAATATTGCCTGTGTCTTTGTAACTTTCCTTTTTCTTTCCAACTAAACTTTTTATTTTATAGGAATTTAGTTATTCAGTTTCATCCAAACTCAAGCTTTTTGCTTTTACGCTAACAGCCTGGTTTTTGTGTATATTTTTTTTTTTGTAAATCTGATGTGTCATTATAGATTTATACAAAAATTTTGAATTATTTAATTTTAGCTCCAATGGTTATTTTATACTAAAAATATATCTCACAATAATTAAAACTTACTTAATATATGGTTGATTCTTTAATGAAATGAGAAAGAGGAATGAAAAAATAAATATGTTGATTTGGCAGTGTAAAAAGGTTGTGTATTTTACACCATCCTTTTACACATTGGTGATGTGGAAATGTAGGTTAACAGACTGCTGGAGATGGAAAAAAAATTTACACATCATAAGTGGCCGCGTGTATTTTACACAAAATAATATTTTAACATACCATGCTCTTACTACCCTTCAGATTTTATCAACCATTTGTGTAATCATTATATTGCTACGTGTGTTTCCTTTAATGGCATGTAATAAAGCACCACATTATCAACACTTACTTCTCTTTTATTGATCCACATCATCGCTGAGGTGGGTGGCTGCCAAAATTTGGTACCAACAAATAATAGTAAACACAATCAAGATTATTAAGTAGCCTAATTTCAAAAGTAGCAAACAGAGTGATTCATATCACATGTATGACTAACTACTTTTCCCCTTCAATTTGAAGATTGTAGATAGACAAAGTAAAAAGTAGCATCTTATCCATTTCTATCCAAAACAAAATTATATCCAAAACAAATGTTTGTAAGATGCAAATGGTGTTTGAATTGAATTAAAGTGCGGTATATCATGTGATATCTATCTCTCCGTCTTTCATTTGTTTGCAAAAAGTGATCCAATTGAATTGAAATTGTGGTGATAATGCAAGACCACCAAGTTTATTTCTCTCCTTCTCTTGAAACGTCCAAGCATATATAAACTCGCTTTTGTTCTTCCTCACGAGAAAGCTATTTCAATCTCATTATTCTGGACACCAAAAAGAAAAGCTGATTCTCAATTAAAAGACATGTGAAATTCGATTCGTAATGTACATAAAAAAGTTGTGAATTTCAAAGTAGATGAAGTCTTCTTTGTAACAAAAGTGACATTCATTAAATGCTTCCCATGTATTCCATTATCCGTTCTTTAATATATTGATATATCATTTTAATGAAAAAAATAATAATTGGGACAAAATTATGAGGATAAAAATATAATTACTTCTATGTAGATTTTGGTTGATGGTAGACTTTTCTTTTTCTTTTATTATTATTATTTTTATTATTTGCCTACCAAAATCAACTAAATTAATTAAATGAATAAGGGCTGTACTCCTCGTATTCTTAAATATATTCACTTCCTTTAGTTTTATTAGTGCCAATCTATCATTTTTATATTTCTAAATTTGTATGTATATGATTTTACGATTGTGTGACCTTGTTCCCTACAAAATACCTTTAAAAATTGTTCAGTCGTCTTGGTTTTCAATTCTTACTTCTATCAATTTTCCTCTTTTCTTTTTCAAAATCTACATGCCTCTCATTCTCAATTTCTCACGGCCAACCAAGTTTCATAACCTCCTACAAAAACACTAATTAGGTTATCAATCACTACTTCCAAGGGCGGATCCCGTGTTTGCCCAGGGGGCACATACCCCTGGGTTGGCCTGCTTATTATAATATATATACTAAATTTATAAATTTTTACATGTATATGTGAAAAAATTCATATAATGTCTTCTTAAAATTATCTCTTAAATTTTGTATTTCTTTTTTTTTTTTAATCTATATTTATTTTAGTGATTATTTATTTATTTATTTATTTTTTAAACTTTACCCCCCTAAATTTAATTTTTGGCTCCACCACTGCTTGCTTCTATTAATGTTTTGTAACCTTAATCTCTTTTGTTTTGCCAATATTGTTCTTTTAACAAATTAAGATATACATATATTTTATTTTGAAATAAACCGAGGAAAAAAAGAATAAAAATTATTTAACATCAATAGATTTAATTGTATATATCAAAAAGAATGGCATTCATAATGAGGTTATCAAGCAATGTTTTTAAGAAATGATTGCTCATTGAGAATAATTATATGATATATTTAAGAAATGATGGCTCATTGAGAATAATTATATGATATATTTGGGATCATTCAACTGGCGGAAGCCAATTTAGTGCTTCCAAACATAGATATATTAAATGAAAACTAGATTTCTTACTCCACTACCAAGTTTTATCATTTATAATCCAAGTTGCTAGTGATATGAATTTCAATCCACTTTATTTGTAAATTGCCCCACTGTGTAGAGGAGGAACTCTTGAGAATCTTTTGGAAAAAATAAACAAGTTTCAACTTAAATACATGAATTAAATTTATGTCATTGCCTTTATATACCCGAAAGGTATCGCATGTGATGTGCTATGAACCCAATGTGATGGTAGGCTAACATACCACATGGTAAATAAAGGAAGTGTCGAAACAAGTATCACTGCGATTCATATTCAATGAAGTATAATTATCTTTTTTAACCTTAAATTATACAAGTTTCTGCTCAAAGTGCTGCCAAAAAGGTTAGAATAATCAAAACAAATTGTAGTGCAAATTCACATGGTGGGTGAAAAATGCTGAAATATCACTTGAAATAAAGTAAGGTGTAGTAGAATTGAATTTATAACAGCTCATGTAGTTCTTGACACTGAAACCACTAATTTGTACTGCTAATTTAACAGAGCAAAGCTAAGATTATCATATTACAATTTAATTATTTAAGAAGACAATATGATATCTTAAAAAGATGAGTAAATCAATTCCATTTGACACCGACGAAGATTTCTGTATGAAATGTAGTTGTAGTAGCAACACGGACATTTAAACATTTTTAACACCTTGCCCTGCCTTGTGCATTTCAATGCTTGCATTTGGGGGAATATCAACATCAGTCATGAACCTGGACCAGAACCAGTGTTGCTTCCATACAATGGCCATCTCTTCAATTGGGATACCCTTCGTCTCCGGCAAGAATATGAACACGAATATGGTCATTATCACCACAAAGAATGCGAAGAAGAGGAACAAACCGAACTTCAAGTGGCAGAGCAATGTTAAGAACACTTGAGCAATTATAAAAGTGAAGATCATGTTGACTGAAACATTAATACTCTGTGCGGCTGAACGGATTTCAAGCGGAAAAATTTCACTGGGCACCAACCAACCTAGAGGCCCCCATGACCAGGCAAATCCAGCAACATAAATGCATATGAACAGCACCACAACAATTGCATACCACTTGGGCAATTGACCAGCGTTGCCATCTACTCCAAATTTGGCACCAATGCAAATTGCAACAACGACCTGTTTCATTAACAATAAAAGTTAGTGATAAACATGATCTAGTAAAATTTGCTAATCACAACACTATAACAAACTACACACCTGGCAAATAAGCATTTGACTACCACCCTCAAGGAAGAGAAATCTCCTACCCCACTTATCAACACCATAGATTGAAACCAAGGTTGCGAAAACATTAACCAAACCAGTGATCACAGCAGACATGAGTGAAGCATCACTTCCGAATCCAATGGTTTTAAATAAAACAGGTGCATAAAACATAATGACATTAATGCCGGTAAGTTGCTGGAAGAAAGGAATGAGGATGGCCATCATAAGTTGAGGCCTATACTTTCTTTGCAAGAGATTTCTCCAAGGGTGCTCCACTAGCTTAGATGTCTCACTAGCCGCAATCAGATCATTTAACTCCTCATCAACATTCTCAACCCCGCGAATTCTCTGCAGTTTAGCTTTTGCTTTTTCAGTTTGGCCGCGCTCAATCATTGAATTGGGTGTCTCAGGAAGCACAAGAGATCCAACTGTGATGATGAGGGCAGGTACCATAGCACCCCCCAAGCTCAAACGCCATCCCCATCCACCTTTGATCTTAGCAAAGAAGTAGTTCAACACATTGGCTACCAGTATACCAATTGTGATTGACAATTGAAAGCCAATGTTAAGTGCACCTCTGTACTTATAAGGAGCCATCTCAGAGAGATACAGCGGCACGGACTGTAATTACAATTCAAAAACCATATATTAACAATTAATTCATATAAAAGAAAGTCTTCATCCCAATTATTAAAGGCAGGTCCAAACAAAGTAAAATTATCAAAACAAACAAATAATCAAATTAGACCAGAATAGAATAACAAAATATCATTCTCAGGGACCACATGCTCTTGTCATACATGACTTTTTCAATCAAACCAAGAAAAACAGAACATTAACATTGAAATTAATAACAAACCTCTCTTTCAGTCTAATTTTTTACTTTTGTTTCTATTCAATGCCGTTGTAACCACGAGTAAACGGTGATGGAAGAGGGCACATGGAAACGTCATGTGCAAAGAAAAAAAAAAAGCTAACTTTTGAATTTATTTATTCAGGGTAAGGGTAATACCCTTCATCAGTACACAAGAGGCATCTCTCAAACTATTGATCATTGAAGAAAAAATCAAGTGAAAATTTCAGAGAAAGATGAATCAGAGCATCTGCAAAAGAGCATGCATATAGTTGGATTAGAGTGCCAACTCAAATTTGCAGCGAAAAAAGACACATCTATGAAATATTCGTAACACACCCATCTGATCTCTTCAAAAAATTACAAATTAGATCTGAACAGAAAATGTTTCCGGCAGCGTATTAGAAGTATTCTTGCTTCGAAGAACCAAAAATATTGCAATTTTAGCTTTGAAAAAGTAACAAAGTATTTTTAAAATTGTTATTATATATATATATATATATATATGTATGTGTGTGTAACAAGACAAAAACCAGCAAACATCTTGGAAGAATCAAACAAAAACTAGTGTTTCGTTCTCTACTAACAACTTGTTTTATTAGATCAAACAACACAAAAGAATATTGAAAATTCGAATCAATTGATCCAAAACAAAACACAAGCTTCCACAAAGCAAGATCAGAAAATATTTTATAGAGAGAGAAAATATGGGAGGGGACCTGATTAGCAAATCCGATACCGAACCCTAGCAAAATGCGACCGACGATGAGCATCCAGACGGCCTGCGCAAAGCCATTGATCAAAGCCCCGGCACAGAAGAGCAATCCTCCAAAGAGCATTGACAACTTCCGACCCAATTTACGGGTCACCCACGACGCCACAATAGACGACAACAGTGCCGCCAAGTACAGCGACGACGTGAACATCGTCAGGGTTTGACTGTCAAATTTACAGTACTGGTTCGTCGAATCGTCGGCCTTTTGCTTCTTATATACAGATGGGAAGAACTTTTTCAAGAAAGGGTCCATAGACGTCACTCCACCTACAATTCCAAACAACCCAAACCATCAAAAATCTACAAATAACAAAATCTAATCTAAGAACAAAATATGTGTGTAGGTGTGTGTGAATTGAGATATATACCCGAAATTCCAATGTCGTAACCAAAGATCAAACCACCCATAGCTGCAACAATGCATGTTACAGTAACATATAGAGTAAGGTTGCCCGGATATTCCTTCCCGTTACCGGGACCAGGAACGAAACCACCGGCCATTTTAGAGAGAGAAACAGAGGTGTGAAGTTTAGAGAGATAATAAAACAAAGCCAAAGTATAAAGAAGAGAGAGAAAGAGTAGAGAAGAGGAATGAGGACTATGAATACAGAGTTTGTATTGGTATGGGAAGGGTATATATAAAGAAAGATTGTAGGTGTGTTTCGTGAAAAAATGAGTCTACCTAATTGCACTGTGTTTGGAAAGTGAAAATCCAAACTCTAATATCCCTTCATTTTTCGGGAAATTTTAAAAGATAATATAATTGTATATTCTTTTAAAATCTTATCAAATGTGGTCGTTCCAAACGCAACGTTAGCTGTCAAAAAGATAATATCTAATCTGAAAATTGCATTAATTATGGGCTTTAGTTTTTGGATAAAATTATAGATCTAAAAAACTTCAATGTCTCACTGAATTGAAAAAACACACTAAATAGTGGGAAATGAGCAAGTGTTTGCTGGTAGTCAAAGAAAGAGGTTTCCATATATAGAAGAATAAAAAGTGGTCCACGTCAGAGTTGAGTCAGAAATATTATCCTCATTTTTTTTTTTTTATTCACTCAACTCACAGTTGCAATTTCATGTTAGCCATTTAACGTGTCGTTGTAGTAAACTAATCTTCCAAATATTCATGATTTTAGGGCTATACCATCAAAAAAAAAAATATATGTTTATTTAAAAAATAATAATTCACACTTCAGAAGCAAAATCATATTTATTGTGCATTTGAAACTTATTGTGAATATTAATGATAATAATGTTATAGATACAGAAAGATAAAAAAGTGAGGTGTGAATATTTATTGTGGTATGTTGAAAGTTGATAAACAAATGATATGGAGGAGAAGAGATGGCGGTGGCTCATGGATTTTGGGGGGTGGCACCTAATAAATATTTACAACTCCTACATTTTATCGGTGTTTGGATAAGGGCGTACTTATGGTGCTGACTGTTCATCGAAATCAAAAGTTACAGCACAAACGTGATTTTCATTAAGGCTTCTACGGCAAGCCAGAGTGGTAATTCCATAATCAACCACAATTTGATAGGACATTTAAAATTGCTTATCTATTACCGAGTAATAGTTTTATTTGAACAGAAGGACTTGTCTTTACACCTTATCCATTCTTACTTAAAAGTTTTTGTTAGACACTGATTGAAATAGCAAAAATCTATGATACTCACTTAAAATTTACAATTCCTTTATTAACACAGGATTGGAGGACATTTTGGTCTTCTGCTCAATTTTTGGCTGTCTGTTTCCTCAACTGGCGGAGGACAGCCAAAAGTCAGAAAATTAATTAATTAAATTAAACGCTGTATGCTTTCCCACATACAGATTTTATAAAATTTGGTATGCCACACGGCCCACACATTACAGATAAATACATTAAAGATGTAGAATTTTCTAATATAGGAGTGATAATTGCAGTTGCAACATTTTTTTATCTTTCTCCTTTTATTTTTCTCTTTTCAATTTTATCCCTTATATTAATAACATCTCAGATTGTCAAAAAAAGAAAAAAAAATGGATTATTTTTTTCTAATTATATTTTAACTATATGTGTGCGCGCGCACGCGTGCACGCTATATGTAGATTCCCCTTCAATTCCAACGATCACAATTTATATTATTTTCTTTCTCTTAGTATTTACCAAAAAGAGTAACATTATGAGAATTTATTATTTTCTTTTCTTTTTTAAAATTATATTTTAACTATAAATATATATACGTGTTATATATTGATAGCAAGTGATATATATATATATAATGACATGAAGGTACTTATTTACATATATATACACACACACATACAAGGGTGGAGCCAGCATAGGTCCCCCGAGCCCATGCTGGCCCATTAATTTTAATTACAAAATGGCCTATAATTTATAAAAAATTTCAAAATGCCTCCCTTAGAATAATTTTTTTCCTAAAAAATGGCCATTAATTTTTATTACACATAGGCCAATAATTTATAAAAAAGTGAAAAATGCCCCACTGAAATAATTATTTACCCTTGGGCTAATTAATTTTTATTGCAAATAGGCCTATAATTTATAAAACTTTACAAAAATGCCCACTAAAATAATTATTTATTAAAAATATCTTTAATTTTTCCTTTCTTTTCATTCTTACTCCTCCTCCTCCTCCTCCTCCTCTTCTTCTTCTTCTTCTTCTTCTTTATATTCTCTTTATAAAAAAATAAAAAATAAAAAGTAGCATTCCTTTATTCAAACTATTTTTTTTTTCTCTTCAAAGTTTGGTAATTAAATTTGTTGCTATAGGACTCTTAAGGTGTATTTTATGTTTTTATTTTTGTTAAATAATTATTTTTCAAATTATTAAATGTTATTATTCCACTATTATTACAGTTCTATTTTTTGACTTATTGTCTATAATATTATTTGTTTTGGCAGTCCAAAAAGAAAGAAAATAATATATTCCTGTATTTTATTTTTTGGCAATCTAGAATGTTATTGATATAAGCGGATAAAACTAAGGAGAGGAGAATAAAAAAAGATAGATAAGAAAATGTTAAAGGGTAATTTTGTCTTACAATTTTATATTTTAAATTTTCATAAAGGCAGGAGATATCTCATAAATAAACTTGTAATTATAAAAATTGTAACCAATAAAAAACGCGACTGTGGAAGAACAGTCGCAAGCACGACTGCAACTAACACTCCTCTTTCTAATAACAAAGAAAAATGTGTTTCACACTTAATATAATAAATTTATTTTAGTTTATGATAATAAATGCGATGGTTTGTGTTTTGCTGGTGTTTACATTCTCGGAGTAAAGTTGGTACTACATTGAATTAGTTGTGTCCATTTCAAGCCATCCCTATTCAATGTTTTCTTTTCTTTTTTCCTTTTTTTTCTTTTGCTTTTTATTAGTCAATTTTTCTTTTGAAATGTCATTAATCACGGTTTCAAACTCAAAGTAATTAAATGTTTCTCTATGAAAATTAAATAAAATTCTACATTATTAATCCGTAATTATTACCTCCATCTCCATTATTAATCCGTAATTATTACCTCCATCTCCATTTAAGTGTTGTTTTTTAGGAGTAATAATTTTTAAGGAGATACGTGGATATGTATTGTTCCCTAAAAAATTATTAATTTGTCTTTTTAAGTTTTGAATATTCAAGTTTAAAAATTTTAATTATTTGAAAAAGTAAGATGAACAATTATTTTGGGACAGTCCAAAAAGAAAAGATGGACATTTTTTTTTTTTGACTAAAAAAGGTATTATTATTATATTTTTTTATCTGATCTTTAATAAAGTAACAATTTAGAAGCTTTTATTTCACAAAATTCAAAAACGGGAAGAGGAATATTTATTCTAAAAAAAAGGTGGGGAAAAAGAAAAAGAGAGAGAATAATAATTGGTGGGGTATAGCATCCCTTCTAATGAGGGTAAAAGAAAATGATGGAATCATTAAATTGTATGTTTTTTTTTATCATGTTCTCCAAAGTTAAGAATGTAGAATTGTAGATAATGTTACCTTCCAACATTATTTTATCCTTCAAATTAATTCTTTCATTTAAAAAAAAAAAAAAAAAAAAAGTGGTTATTGGTTGATTTAATGTAAGAGTAATAGGTTATACAAATTGGTCCAAATCAATTTCAGATGTTCTAAATTTCTATGGATTTGTCAGTTATCTGTTACTCAAATAAGCAGCACATATCATTACTCCTCTCCGTTGTCCAAAAATATAATTAAACGTATTTTTTTAATAGTTAATTTAAAGGGGGACAATTGGCATCATCTTGTGAGCATTATACTTAAATTGAACAGAGCCCATATATTTTTTGAAAGGGTTTAATTTGCAAATTAGGGTGAAAATTATAAAAAAAACTATTTGTTAATTGACATGGTAATTTTTTTTTTTTTTTTTAAAAAAAAAATTGATTTTAAGTTTTTCCTGTATTTGTGTGAGTTGGATTTCCTGTTACCATATGAAATTTCGTCAAAGATATACCATTAAAGTTGTAAAAAAGAAAAAGAAATAGATTCTGTGATCTATATACTATAATCATTACTGAAATTACTAAGTAGTAATTACAGTGGAACATAATTGTCTTCATGGGTCAAAACCTATCAATCTATTATAATGATGGATTCAATTTTTAGCAATTTAAGACTTGTTTGGTTTAATTTTCTGAAAGTAATTTTTATTTTATAAGAACTTAAAATAAATAATATATAAAAACTTGTTTCATTGATAATTTTTAAAAGTTATTTTTAAAAAACTAAATTTAAAAAAAAATATTCATATTTTCAGAAAATTATAAAAAAAAAAAAAATGTTTCTTTAGGTAACAAATCAAAAAAGTCGTAAACTCTTGTCATTTAATTTTTTAAGTGACAAATTAAATAAAATCCTAAACTCTTCATTGACAATGTATGGGCCCATTTTCTAACCAAAAATAACCTCCATAACAATCTCAATAAAATAAAATCAAATCAAATAATTAAAAAAAATTTGTCCATGGTCCAAGTTTCCAGATTTTATGAATCAACCAAAGTTACTCATCAAAAAAACTAGACATACAAAAGTTGCAATTAAAAGACATGTCAATGCGTAATCAAATAATTCACTCCTGCACCATGTTTATCATTTCGAAATAATGTCGGAATTAATGACCCATGCATATATATATACCGTACTTGTAATTGTATCCAAGAAGATCCTCTTCCGCAATTTTTTGAAACCATGTATAGCAACCGGCCCCCATTTATCATATGGTTGGTGGCATTCACACCACATGTGACATATGAAGTTCACTTTTTTTTATTATTATTATACCAACACACTCCCTTCGTGTGCTTACTAGTGTTATAGTGGCCCTCGCACTCTCGTCGGCACTTAAGTTGGCAAGTAAATAACACTTATTTTATTTCAAAAAATGTTTTGTACAAAATTAGCTCTCAAACTCTTTGTAAGGCTTTTTAGACTCACTCTAGGACTTGATGATTACAAAATGAAGTCATACTCCTATTTATAGGCATCTCCATACCTAATGGACAGCTAGGATACATTCTAACCAACGGTGAAGATCGATTTTCTAGAATCTTCTCCCACATTCTTCACACTTCCATATATATCTATAAGTATCTACAACATTCTAGAACTCTCCATACTACTCTACACAATTATGAAAAATTCTAAAACTCTCCATACTACTCTACACA